ACAGGGCTACTCCTCTTCAGTACTTCATTGTTAGTTTATGTGATACTTTAGTTTGTGTTGTCCCATGTTTTATGTGACAGCTTGTTGTGAGTTTTGTTGAGGTTTGTTTTTCAGACCCCAACAGAATGTTTTCAGATGCTTTTTTTTTTTTTCCTTTTAAGTACCACTTCTATTTTGATTTGAAACTGATTATTGCTAGTATACAGCAGAACTATATAAATACCTTTGTCCACATGAATAAGGGGTGGAGATCTTGTAATGCAAGGGAACAGGAATAACCTCTGAGGAAGTGGGAAAAGACACTATCAGCCACTACTAGTGGGTGTTGACCATTTTGTAACACAAGATCATGGACCTGGTGGGGAGTCTATGAGTGTCAGTATCTAAAGCAGCTGATGAGGTAAACACAAAATAGATCAGTGTCAGCATTTGCTGGGTAGCCCCGAGTTTTGTGAACATACACAACATGCCTGCTCCTTTTCTTTACAAGGTCACCAACCTGACCTTGTAATACCATGTTAAACAAAATATGCCCAAGGGCAGCAGGGTTTGGTGGGGATCTGACCAGGCCACATGTGCAGTGCAAGTGTGCCTACATACTTTTAGCTAGTGACCAGAGGGCAGAGAAACTGCAGAGAGAGTTAGGGAGCTATTTAAGTATGCTGTTTATGTAAGGATCTCCGGAGACCTTAGAAAGTTGACATTTCTTAAATCTTCCCTTGTTCAAGGAACATTGTGTTCCTCCACTCACTCATCTGCTTCTGCACGGCTTTGCAGTTTTATAGTGTAGCTGTCGAGCTCTGCTCAGTTTTGGGTCTCTAATTTATACTACTGCCTTGTCATGAAAGGAGGAAAAAGCCTTCCTGTGTATACAAAGCTGATCATGGACAAATAGAAGACAACTAAGAAATCTTTACATTATTCAAAACCAAAATGATAGCAGCATTGTTAGAGGCACGTATTAGAAACCATTCACCCCTGTTTCTAACACAGAAACTAACACAGTTTCTAATACAGAAAAGTTCTTTTGGTTTGTGGTTAAAGTTTTCCAAGTTAAAAGCAACACAAGCAACTTTCAACTATTTTTTTTTTTTACTTCTATATGTTGTTAGTCAATATTATTAATGAAAATTGTATTATTTCTGAGAAAATTGTCTTTAATGAATATTTAATGATTTGTGAGCCAGTCTGAAGCAGTGTCCCTCCCCCATACAGCCCTGTATCTTTAAGTTTTGGAAAACATTAAGTTTCCTGTTCACTGTAGGGATATGTAAGTGTGATATTCTTTGTCACAGTGAAGGTATAGTTCACTGAGTGTTGTTTTTCATTCTGTGTCATTAATAAATCCATCATGATCTGCTTCAAATTGCATGAACTGGACGTTTTTCCCCCAGGATACCTGGTCAGCTGTGTAAATGAGTGTCACAATGCAACAAACCAGCCAAGCCACTCATCTAACACCACCCCATGGGGAAAAGCTATTTCCCATCAGGTTAACTAGTTTGTAAGTATGGATGATGACATAAATAAAATAACGTCTGATTGATACACCTCATAAATAGAAAATGAATCTTTATAAGATACCTAATTTTTCTTATCATGATTATAAACTACTATATCAGATCTACTTGCAAAGGTTTTGGTAGCCGGGGGGGTGAGGTGGGGTAGGGGTGGAGTGGAGTGGAGGAGGAGGGGGATAACTGTAGGTGTGACCTCTGCGAGAAGAGACCAGAAGCTGCCTCCGTGTTGGACAGAGCCAGCGCCTGCCAGCTCCAAAACAGACCCAACACTGCCTAAAGCAGAGCCCATCAGGGATGCTGGTGGCGCATCGGTGATAACATATTTAAGAAAAGGTAAAACCACTGTGCAGCAGCTGTAAGAGGTGTGAGAAAAAGTGTGAGAGCAGCCCTGCAGAAACCAAGGACAGCGATGAAGGAGGAAGAGGGGGAGGAGGTGCTGCAGGCGCCAGAGCAGATTCCCCTGCAGCCCCTAGTCCCCAGCTGTGCCCCGCACCCACGGAGGTCAGTGGTGTGGCAGAGACCCCCCTGCAGCCTGTGGAGAACCCCACGCCAGAGCAGGGGGATGTGCCCGAAGGAGGCTGTGACCCCGTGGGAAGCCCACGCTGGAGCAGGCTCCGGGCAGGACCTGTGGCACACAGAGAGAAGATGTATATTTTGAAGCTACACTACTTTTTTTTTTTTTTTTTTTTCTTTCTCTGTTTTCTTTCGTTCAAAATAACGAACAAGGTATCTCTCTCTCTTTCTTCTGCATACACCTACACAATTTACTCATAAAAGTTCTGGGCGGAAAGTGGTAAATTCACAGCCCACACCATCTTTCAAAACTGCATCTATATCCAGCCATATTATCTAGATGTATCTTCCTTTTCTCTCTGATAAACCAGTCACATTTGGGTGTTTTATTAGCAACCTCCACAGACGTGACAGAGACTGTAAAAGCAGTGAAGATCGAATTGCCTACAGGGCTTATTTCAAAATTTTTACCAAACATATATCAGAATAACAAAACCATATTATTAGAGAAGTTCTTCCCTTCCTCTAGCCCTGTCTTGCTATTTTCAACTAGTTCTATTGGGCTCTGAGACACATATTAACTACTCAGGCTTGTTTCTCTCTTTCATTCATTCCCTGAGGACAAAACACCCCCAAACCCCCCAAAATATCTTCAAATTTCAGTGTCTTTTTTTTTTTTAAACAGCAATAATAATAAAAAACGTTTTGTAAAGAAGAAAAAAAAAATACCCTCTCTATTGCTTTCTATTTCTCTGTTATAATTTGTTTTGTGAAATGTTGCATTTTCCAGCACTTCACTGAGAAAATTAAGTTATCACTGTTGGAAAACAAGGACATAAGGAACTTACTGAAGTGTGATAAACTATTTTTTCAGTATCTGTGAAATTCAAGGGCATACATACATATCAGAGGAATAAGAAATCTTTCTGTCCACAAGATTTTTCTGAATATTAGCTGATAAAATGAAAACAACTATTGATTTATTAGGTTCTGTATTGTTATTAAATTTCTGTAATTTTAAGTTACACAAACATATTTGCATTTTGTTAACTGTGCTATAGTAAGAAAGACCAGATTGAGATCTAAAAATTATTTCTTAAAATTATTTCAAACTTTTTCAGTTTTCCTCATTACCTGCTTTTCATACACACATCAAAGATGAGTATTCCCCAAGGAAAGTCAGGGTTGGAAGGAGAGAGATACTATAAAATAAAGCGAGCTAAAATATAATTAAGTGCAAAATATTATTTAAGCCAAGCAGGTATCTTCCTGAAACAGAAATCCCAGTAAGCCCATTATGGAGCAAAACAATCAACAGGATGAAAATTCACACTTTTTTTTTTTAAAGACTACAAAGAAAAGAACAAAATCTAAAATAATTTGTAGACATCCTTGTCTATCAGTCCAATGGGTCTAAAGGCACTGCACAGAAGTTGAGGCATTCCCTTCTTTGGGGAATTCACTAACAGACCATGTCTTCTCATATAAAGCAGCATTGAGAAAATTTGGATGAATTGTTATTTGACTCATTATTTACTAAACAGAATGATAGTGAGAAATAAACACCTATTATTTTTCTTCTCATGAGTGTTTCCAGAGATAAAGTGTCCAAAAAGAGAATGGTGGAACAAACTAATAAAATAGAATCATATCTTTAGGACAAGATAAATTTTACACGGAAGTTCCTACGCTGCTGTAGTGTAGTGATAAATCTTCACAACATGGTCTTCTTCATAATTTGCTCTACTAATTAGAACAATTGCAAGTTATAGAGTATGGTATTTTCAATATAAAGAAAGTAATTTGATTTCCTTCTTGAAGCCTGTGAGGCCCATTTGACCTGACATATAGGGAAGCTAAATGTTTCAATGCTTTAATAAGTAGTGTTGCCACTGTTTATGGTGCTGCTTTCAAAAAGTACTTTTTTTATTCCTCCTTTCTGTGAAATATTTTAGGAGAGACTTACAGGAACAAAACCACATCAGACTCAGTGATCAATGTAATTATACAGTATTGGATTCCACCATTCTATTTACATACTCGTCCATAAAAATGAAAGTCTCATTGTAATTCCCTTCATCTAGAAGTACTGCTCTAAGAACATACAATCTCTTTCTAATGGAAATCAGAATTACAATTAGATCTATTACAAAAAGTACTAGTAGAACATTTTTTTTTTCTGCAAAAGATGCTGATGCAGTAGAATCCAAAATAAACTTCAGAAGGACACATCAATTCTCTTGACATTTTTAACGCAAAACTGAGAAGGCTAGCTGGCTTGCCTGCACAGGCTTTTGCTGCAAAAGTTTGTCCTGGCAAGTTGTCCCTAAAAGTCTCCTCACTTTTGCAAAAAGACAAACTTGCTGGAGATCAACTTTACCTCTGAAGGATGCTCCCAGATCTCCAGTTGGTAACTGCACAGGCTACAGTTCCACTCAATCAGATAGACAAAGAAATGCTTGAATTATATATATACACACACACACACACACACACACACATATAACTCTTAGTCTTTCAAAACGATTTTTAACCTGAAGAGTTAAAAAAAAAAGCAACATTCAGGGGTAATTGGGTTTTAAGTAGAAATCCATGAAACAGTTTTTAAAAATAGTCTGCTGATAGATTATATTTTAAGATACTAACACAGAAAAGAAGATCAAGGTGTCTCTCTCCTTATGCCAGTTCAAAAATGATTTTCCTAACCTGGGGTAATTCTTACACTTTCTGTCCCACAGGAAAACATTAGCCTTGGAACTACTGCTGAAAAATTAAATACTAGTGCCACTGATCTTTCCCCTCTTTGTACCTTCAGTGTTAGATTTGGTGTAATCAGAATTTATCTGCCAGACCAGGCAAAAAAAAAGATAACATAGCTGAAGAAAACCACATTTTAAAAGTGAATAGTATAAAAATAAAGTAAACACCCCTGTTAGTACCTTAATGTTTCAGCACCTATAAACCAGCCCAAGAAAAGGAACATTAGACAGACATGTAGGTACTACACATAACCTTGGGCCTAAGTACAGATCTACAGTGTGATAGTAAAGGCTAAATGCTCATTGTAGACACCTGTGGTGATTCATGTGACTTTAACCTCAGTGTCTTGCAAGAAAAAAGAAAGTCCATTAGGGAAATGGTTTTATAGAATCATCACCTACTATTCAAAGTGGTTAATTATCATATGTAAACTCAACCAGTAATTAATTACATATAGCTGTCTGAACAGATTTATTTTTTTTTAAATTATAAATTCACTGTAAAATATGTAGTGCGTGAATGGTGCAAAGAGTAAATATATGAAGCAGTAACCAAAAGATTTAGATTTACCCCTTCCTGAGGCAGAATTGTTTACTTCCCAGGTAAGTGATATGAAGCCTAATCTAACAAAGAAATAGCTTCATGACGCTACTTGTGATAGTGACCAAACTGCCTTGTAAAATAGGAAAGGAATCTGGGAGTAAAAGCCTCTCTGAACCCAGGAGCCTACAAAGGAAAGACTTACTGTAGAAGCTAACACAGCCTACCATAAAGGCAAGATGGAAAGAAGTGTAAAGCTCTAAATTTGTCTGAGGGTTCACTCTTAGGGGTGTCTTTGAAAGCTGTCATTGACAGAAGCTTTTGAAAGAGATTTCTTTAATGAGCATCTCGGAAGGAGATGGTTTTAAAATAGGATTCATAACAGACCACATTGCCTGTGATGGTAATATTGCTAATATGTAAATAACCAACACATTTCCAAAATCACTACTTATCTCTGTTTTGTCAGGTCTTGAAAAAAATGGTGATAAAGCCAAATAATCCCCCCAAACCTATGGAAACTATACTTTACTGCTTCATATCTGTCCTCTTACTTGACCAAAACAAAAAAAATTCACCTCAGCAGAAAAAAAAAATACATTCAAACATATTCTCTTCTTCTGTTCCCCCCTAGAAGGTCTAGTCTCTCTCTTTTTCAGAGCACCTGGTTCCTACTTGCTAGCTAAAGGTAATTAGCCTTTAATTATCACCAGTTACATTTTCACCTGCAAATCACTGGAAAGTCAAGCTTGCCCAATTAGCATATTCATCTCCCACCTGCAGGCAGTGAGGAAACACTTCTGCACTTTAACTGAAGCATTAACCTTTTATTTACCAGTGTCTTAGCTGAATTCTCAACTGAACCCACAAAATGAAATTCGTGCATGCGTGTGCAGATTCTGACATCAAATGATGTTTTACTAGAGACTGTTGTTAAAGGTTAACAAGGTTAACTACGGGGAAAACCTTAAAAGATTTTCATAGTAATAAATAGAAGGAACAAAAACCAAACCAAAACAAAACAATTCACAGACAAAGTGTCCAATCCTTTCATTTTTCTCTCACTAGTTTAATATTGCTAAGTGAAGTGGAGATTTTTAGATGTTGATATAGCGATGAAAATGCAGAGTATGACATTCTCAGGAATCCTTCTAAAAGTTTCTGCAATACAGGTAATGATGTCAAAGACAAGCAGACTGATTCTCTCTACCTAATATACGTACTTCAACCAGCCTTTCAGCAACCTATTTTCAACTTTTACTGGTCTTATTATAAAAATTATTCTCCAGCTTAATTTTTGCTTGCACTGTTGTTTTTCATAAACATAACCTTTTTTTTTTTTTTTTTTTTCCACATACACAGTTTTGATGATGTAGATGTTTGCAGGCTCGGGCTTTCATTGTGCAAGCAAACACATCCTTATGCGGGTGGCACATTCCAATGCTTTCAAGAGGACAAACAATCACTAAGGTGCATATTTTCAGGAGGAAGGCAAAGAACTATGAATTACAGACCAGGTCATTGTGGCTAATGCCTGGAATAATATATGCATAGTTGAAATATAAATAACACTACATTCATCTTTAGTATAGAAAGTCCTAGCTTAGAGACTTTTTTTTTTTTTTTTTTTTTTTTTTTTTTATGCTCTTTACCTAAGAGGAAAGAAACCGTAATGTGTTCACAGATTCAAGCAATCTGTTGTTTAAATTAAACAAAAGGCATGGAGAGAATCCTCCCTGAATCTAAGAACCTTGGTTGTTTTGCAGATACAAAACCTAAAAGGTATCCTCCAAAGGCAACAGGTAAACTAAATTGCTACTGTCAATCTCCTAAAACAATAATTTTGTGTCAAAGTAATATTTTTACTTTTTGAGTATGTTTTTCGTGAAATGTATCTTTATGTCACAACTGTGATTCAGATAAGACTGTTGACAAATTATGCATAAAATATGCATAAAATTGTTTATAAACCATGTTTATTAGATTGGCTTTAATGGGTTCAGCATAACTAGGTCACTATCATTTTATTATCATCATATTAATTTTATTTATGAAAAATATAGCTACTAAAATAATATGGAGACAAAATATAAATTACAATTTTGAA